TATTCCCATTTTATTGAGGGTTTCTTAAAATCATATGTTCTATCTTGACAACTGCTTGTTCTGCATATGATGTCATATAATTTTTATCTTTTTGTTAATGTGGTGTATTGCATTGATTGATTTGCATATTTTGAACCATCTTTGTGTCCCTGGAATGAACCCCACTTAATTGTGGTATATTACTTCTTTAATGTATTCTTGTATTCAATTTGCTAGTATTTTGTTTAGGATTTTTGGACCTGTATTCATCGGAGATATTGGTATGTAGTTTTCTAGTGTTATTCTTGCCAGGTATTGGTAGTAGGGTTATGTTGGCCTCATAAAATATTATGGAAGTGTTGCCTCTTCAATTTTTGAAAGAGTTTGAGCAGGATAAGTATCAAATCTTTGAATGTTTGCTAGAATTTGCTAGTGAAGCAATCTCCTGGACATTTTCTTTTGTGGGGGGGCGGATTTGATGGTGGTTTCAATTTCCTCACTGGATACTGGTCTATTTAGATTTTCCATTTCTTCATGACTTATTCTAGGAAGGCTATATATTTCTAGGAACTTATCCATTTCTTCTAGGTTATTGAATTATGTGGCATACAATCTTTCATATTTTATATCTTTGTATATCTGCGATGTCTGTGGTAACTTCTCCTCTTCCATTTCTGATTTTGTTTATGAGTATTTTCTCTTTTTTCCTTAGTAGCCTATCCAGGGGTTTGTCAACTTCATTACTCTTCTTAACCAGCTGTTTGTTGTATTAATTTTTGTACAGTCTTTGGTTCTCTATTTTATTCAGTTCTGCTCTAATTTTTATTATCTCCTTTCTTCTGATGACTTAAGTTGCTTTTGTTCTTTAAGATGTAATGTCAAGTTTATTTGCGATTTCTCATTTTGTGATAGGCCTGTAATGATACAAACTTCCCTCTTATTACTGCTTTTGCTGCATCCCAGAATGATAATGTCATACTATCATTCTCATTTGACTCTCTCTATCTTTTTTTTTAATGAGGACATTCTCTCTTTTTTTTAAGATTTTATTTATCTTTAGAGAAGAAGGGAAGGAGATAGGGAGAGAAATATCAATGTATGGTTGCCTCTCGTGTGTCCCCCGCTGCGAACTAGCCTACAACCCAGGCATGTGCCCTGACTGGGAATTGAACTGCGGTACTCTGGTTCACAGGCCCGTGCTTAATCCACTGAGCTACACCAGCCAGGGCTGACTCTCTATTTTTTTATCTCACTTTTTACTTCTTTGATCCAGTCATTTTTAGTAGCATGTTGTTTAATCTCCACATTTCCTGCATTTCTTTACCTTTTGCAGTCAATTTCTAATTTCAAAGCACTGTGATCAGAGAATACTCTTGGTATGATTTCAGTCTCCTTGAATTTAGTGAGGCTGGTTTTGTGACCCAACATATGGTCTAGCCTTGAGAATGTTCCATGTGCACTGGAGAAGAATGTATAGTCTGGTATTCTGGGATGAAATGATTGCCTCTTAATCTTCACTTATCTGTACATGTTCAGTCCTTCCCCTTCTCCCTTTTTATGATTTTGTTACAAATTATTTTTTATGTTGTACATTCATTACCAAATTATAGTAGTTATTTTTAATGCCTCCTTTTCCCATATAACCTTTATGGTTATATTTAAATGTCTAATTATTCTTCTCTGAAGTAGAGTTGCAATTTCCTGCTGCTTCTGTCTGCTAGTCATATTTCTCAAAGTTGTGTCTGCTTTTGTCTTTTTATTTCCAATGAAGAAAAGTTCCTTTTAACATTTTTAAAAATGCAGGTCTTAGAGTGGTAAATTCATGCAGCTTCCACTTGCCTGTGAAATCCTTTATTTCTCCATCATATCTAAAGGTAAACTTTGCTGGATGTATTATCTTTAGCCCGTTTTTCCTTTTATTCAGTACTGTGAATATTTTCTTCCACTCTCCCCTGGCTTGTAATGTTTTTACTGAAAAACATGATTATAATCTAATGGGGTTTTCTTTACAGACTACAATCTAATTTTTCCTTGGCCGACACGCAAATACTCTTTGTCATAAATTTTGAATAAAATGTGTCTTTGAGTTCTTTTAACATTGATATAATCGTGTTCTATTATCATTCCCTAATATAAAGCCCACTTCTTTACAAAGGCTGGGGAAATTCTCATCAATTATTTATTTGACTATGCTCTCTGTTCTGTTTTCCTGCTCTTCACCTTACCCATTATACTTATATTGTTCTTTCTAATGGAGCCAGATAGTTCTCATAGATTTTTTTTTTAAACTCTTAGCTCTCTCTTCTTCCTCCTTGGTCATTTCTAGATTTTTGTCTTTGAGCTTGCTAATTTTTTCTTCCATCCTCAGCTCTAGAATTTGTTTTTTTATAGTTTCAATCTCTTTGGTAAAGTACTCCTTTTGTTTATTAATTTCCTTCCTGGGCTCACTGAATTTCCTTTCTAAGTATTCTCGTATCACTGAACTTCTTCATAACTGTCTCATTAAATTCTGTCATTTAAGTCACAATCTTCCATGACTTTGAGTTTGGTTTCTAAAGACTTTGCATATTTTTTTCTGTGCTCCCATACTACCTTGTGTGTTCATGGTATTTGATGGATGATTTTTCTGCCTTCACACTGAGGGTAATGAGCTCTTATTTATATACTGTTTTGCTGTCAACAATTCAGCAGGTTGGTAGGTAAGGCACATTTTCCCATTTTCTAGTATATTGTGCTATAGCAGAAATTTGTTTTCTCTTACCTACACCATTTTCAGCTTTAGGAATGCAATGTAGCAGCTTTACTTCAGTTAAGGAAAATGCCACATACCCACTGGGATGGTGGGTTTCCCCTCTGTGACCAGCTCTCCTCAGTTACAGGGCACTACCATCGTGGTGGGGGAACATGGTGGGTGGTAGAGAACTGGTGTGCGAGCTCCAGTACTACCTCCCTTTCAGTGATGATCCCAGGCCCTGCTATGTTTTGGGAGGTGCCTGCATTACCTCCACCAGGCTCTGCCGAGATGGGTGTTGGTGGTGGGTAAGGGGGGGACTCATAATTTCCTAGCACCATTGTACTGTGTCAGGGGTGTCCACCCTATGGCCCACAGGCCACATGTGGCCCCCCAAAAAACTGTAAATTTACTTAAAACCTTTTTTGCTCATCAGTTTTCGTTAGTGTTTGTGTATTTAATGTGTGGCCCAAGATAAATCTTCTTCCGGTATGGCCCAGAGACACCAAAAGGTTGGACACCCCTGGTTCTCAATCTGACTCTACGGGGTTGGGTGGGGCAAGGAAGGCGTTTGTGATCTTGTAGTCCCCCACCCCCAGCAATGGCTATGCTCTCTTACTGCCTGGGGCTTTTCAGCTTTCTTTACTAGCTCTTCTGGGATGGGTGTGGCCAGGGAGGCAAGTTTCCTTTTGTGGCTCCACCCCAACCCCATTCCAGGAATGGCTGGCTGTTGGCAGTGCCATGTTAAGGTTCCCAGCCACCTACCTCTACTAGGATCTGTTGCAATGAAGAAGGGAGAGCAAAATGCTTTTTCTCAGGGACTGTTGCTTCTTCCCCTCTTACAACGCAGGCTATAGTGTGAGAGCTATAGCCCCACTTTTCCCCCTGCTTACACTGCATCTGTGGCAACTATTCCTGTCTCTCCACGTCCCCTACTCATTCCAACCTTTCCACTATCAGATGTTCCAATATGTGGATCATTCAGGCATATTCCTATGTTGAACGGGTAATTCTTTGCAGTTATAGTTGTCTGATTACTATATTTAAGGGGAAAAGAAAGAAGTCTGCTCACTCCTGTGATGCTGATGTCTGGGATGGACCTTCTATGTTTTAGAAGTTAGTATATGAAATCCTTATAGAAGATGCCTTGAGCTCAATGGTAATCTACCTTGATAAGCCATCCTAAGGAAGGCAGGTCCTTTCCAGGAATGGCAACAAGATTCCCAGAAGAGAATCAGTTTGCCTTTGAGGTGGAGGGGAATGAGGAAACAGGAAGCTCACCAGAGTAAAGACTCTGGAAATTGGTAGGCATTGTTAGGAGACTTACCACTTTCTCAGATCATCAAAATGGAAATTTGAGGCAATCTTGTCTATATGTAAAGGAAGCTCCCACTGGCATCCAAGATACTACTCTGTTCCATGTTTTTCTTGAGAGCATTCAAGATCATGAATCTGGAACAAAAGCTGTTTACTCATATGGTAGGCATCCATAGACAGTCCATTGAACTATGTGACACAGCGCAATTGGAATGTTAGCCCAATTAGAATTTTATTGGCCAGTCAGGTAAGATGATCTAAATTTTCTACAGTGCCTTGAGCATGTGCTAGAAACTTAAGATTCATTTAAAAAGCTTAAATTCTGTTATCTGTTAACTTCAAAGCTGGAAAAAACATTCTGCCAAGATATGTAAATTAAGTTTTGTTCTAGGGAAAATGAAATCAAATCATAAACTAGTCACTTAAGAGGCACAGTGCCACTCATTTTTATTGATGATAAACATAGTAGGCAATGGCAAGATTCAGGCCCTGGGCTGTCCATCTTTGTCATTCAAAACTGGAACTAATGGTAAATGTAGGAACCACCTTATTCCACAAGCTTACTAGTGACATCTAAGTGTGTTCTCTAATCTCTGTCTTGATTATATGTATATATAATCTTTTCTCCAATAATATGTACAGTAAGCTTCTTAAATACAGAGGCTAAGTTTTTAATTTCCTTAGTATTTTCCCTCCAGTAAATTACCTCCTGATGATTTTTAAATAATAATTGAATTAGGTTTATCTATATGAATTAAAGGAATAAATGAAGGTTTTATAACACAAATTTTTAAATATTCTAAATTGTTTACTACATTATAATGGGTAAATTGAGGAATATCTGAATTCCCCCTTGCGATCATGTTTAAAAACATGTCTTTGTTTTATATACATATTTTAAAGATTTTATTTCTAGAGAGAGGGGAGGGAGGGAGAAAGAGAGAGGAACATCAATGTGTGGTTGCCTCTCATGTGCCTGCATCCCAGACATGTGCCCTGACTGGGAATCAAACTGATGACCACTGGGTTTGCAGGCTGGCCCTCCATGCACTGAGCCACATCAACCAGTGCCTTTATATTTAAGATGATAAGTCATCTCTATTACTATCATCATATAGGAGCATTATAGTATTTAGTGACTATTAGAAAACTTATTTAGGAAAAACATTTGAAGGAAAAAAAACTACTGTGAGATTAAATAATTTATTACCAGTGCTAAGATGAACACATATACTTGATACTCAATTTTATGCAGAACTTTAAAAAAATAGTTTTAATACAGTATCAAAATTTACACAAGTATTTTGTCAAAAGACCAGTGTTCCTTGTATTAGCTTCTGCAGGCACAAAAACTTATTTTAAATGTCTCTGATGTGTAGGAATACAACAATTTAAGGATGAAAGATTTCTAACAAGAGAAAGTGTAAATATAGCAAGCAATTTTCTTTTACAGAATAGCAATATTTTTAAAAAATAAAAGAAAGATAGGCTTAGCTGGTAACCCAATTATGATAATAAGATTATTCTATAGTAAATTAACTCAGTATTTTCTGAAAGCAGAAGGCTGGTTTTTCATCACAATAACATTTTAAAAACTACAACAAAATTCTCTCACCAGTGACAATTAATAAACTGTGTAATGAGTCCATTTAAAGACAGAGTCCTATTTGCTTCATTCGCTATGAAGCAAATATGAGTAATATCTGAAAACTGGGAATTGTTGCATTCCTACATTTACAACTTAAACTACAGTAAAAACAGCATTCTGTCACAGGCCTCTTGCACATTCATACAGAAAACTATCACTGCATTTGAATAAACACAAAATACCTATCATAGCATTTCCAGTACACACAGCCTAGTATTATATATACCGAAAATAAGAAATAAACTAAGCAAAGCCAGCACACCTCTTTTTCAGACCTCAAGCAATCTGAACAAAGCTTTTAGCCTCAATAATGAAGGGCATGCGTCAGTTTCATAAACATCAGATAGCTGCTGTAGTCAAAGAAAGCTTTTCATAAATGCAGTGCAATACTTTAAAGTTTACATGAAGTTTATTAAATATAATAACATGTCTAGAAACTAAATTGTAGAAATTGACGTCTCACAGCTGAAAACACTTAGAAAAAGTATGTTTGCTTGTTCTTTAATTGAGATCGTTGGTATTCACATGAGTGAATATGGAGGTTGACATGTCCCCAAGATGTGTCTTGATGAAAAATACATCAAGATTAAAAGAAAAAAAAACATTTATTTTGATCATCTAAAATGAAAGGTACTCTCTGATAAGCACTCTACAAAGTCTTGCTACCACAGCTGATAAGGAGAATTTACATGGTAATTTAGCACCTTAAAACTAAAACATAAAATTTTAAAAAAATTCCCAGAAACCTAATCTTACCTTGCATCTAAATTATGCATCAGGAACTAGTATTTTCTTGACTAAATATAAGAAATAGGTACTTAACTCTCAAACTTGGGAAGCTGGAAGATACTTCTTCTTCAATACACTGTTGTAGAAAACTCTCACCATTAAATGTAACACATCAACTCAATCAAACCCATGGCGGTTCTATTGCCTCTTCCAATCATGCGTGTTTCCCAGTTACAATCTTAGATCTCAGGAGTCAAAAACGTTTCAGTTCTCATGAAAATATTGGTACCAAAATGGTGATTTTTCAAAGTTACCTTGTTTGAAATTGACTGCTGTAGACATCAAAGCGAGAGACATAAAATACAGCTTTAGTTACACTAAAGGTTTTTAGAGGGGAAATATGTGCAATGTACAATCACTCCATGAGTTCAGGTTTGTGTAAATCCACTCTCTCCGTATTTTCTCTCATTCTGGCAGTGGTGATCTCACGTTTGAAAAGAGTGTTTCTCACATTGGTCCTTTGTACTGGTTTCCAGACAAATGCTGCCTAATTCCAGGACACGAACCTGCAGCATCTCCAAGTTTCCTCCACACAACCTTTAAAAAAGAAAAGCATCTTAATTGTCCTCTTCCACAAACAGATGAGTGTTTAAGGGGCATCTATGAGAGGGTAAAGAGGAATATGCAGACAAGAGACAAAATACCCACATGAATGAGCTCAAACACAAACAAAATAAAATATAGTGCAAGCTTCTAAAGCACAAGAACTACTCAGTTGATGAGACCACTAGGCTTTGCCAGAAAGCAGGGTCCAAATTAAAGAATGATGTGCCAACTTACTCTAGTTGTATGAGTGATACTGAACTCTATCTGCACACTGTGCACCTGGGGAACCTCTCTGAACAGTAACTCCTACCTTTGGAGGTGAGGCACAGGCATCTGTATTTTTTAAAGGCTCCCAAGGTGATTCTAATGTGTATCTAGAATTAAGAACCCCTAAGAAAATCATCCTGGTTCCTATATTATACTTCTCTAACATGGGTTATCAAAGTGTTTAATCCATCCACTAAGGAAAATACAGAAGCTTTGATCTTGAGTTATTTGAGTCCTGAGAGGATAGCTTTAGGGCCACTAGTAAATTTCCCTGCTTTTTCCTGCAGAGTTGGGGCTTTAATCATAAATTTTAGCAGCCAACAGTACAATCTTTTAGATTACCAAAACACAAAGCAGGGAAAAGATAAGAATAAATTCAAGAATCAGTGAACTAGATACAATTACAGCATGTTGAAATTTGGGCCAGTTTAGAGGGACAACAGGAAAGGTGAGATTAAGAATAAAGTAAAATTACTGAATTCACCAATAATATACCAATATAGTAACATTGTTACTGAGTGTACACACACACAGTAACAGTCATAACCCTCTTAGAGAGGTTCACTATAAAAATTATGTTCAGATTGATTAATTCCACAATAATTTACATGGCTGTAACATGAATAAAAACCAGTTGGTTCTTTGGTGATTCATAGACTGTGCTTCTTTGCTTTTCTTTTCAAGAGGGTAGATACTCCAGAGAACCCAGAAAGAATAATACAGGGGTCTGTCTACTTTCATTTGTAAGCTAATGCAACTGTTAGTCTCTGTTTTAGCAGACATTACGATGTGGCCTCAATGTCCTGTCCTATTTGAAGAGAGTTGTAGTTATGGTCCTTAACTATTTGGAAAGAAATGGCATAGCTGTGCACAAGGGAATTAATAAACTGACTGTGAAGAGATACAAACATCTAATCAGGAAGCCAAGGCAGCACCGCTTTCTAGCCCTTAAATTGTAAATATGGTAACATCTATCCAGGATATTTTAAACTAGTTTAGAAGCAGAGGATAAAGCATTAGATGGCTACAACTCAAAATGCAACCCCTCTTCAGTACTCAAATGTCAACTGCCATGGGCTGTGTGGTGAAACACAGAGCAGGTAGACTCTGAAATAAGCCAGCAATGCCAAGGTCATCAGAGTAGTGACCTGTTAACTGAGAGAACAGGTGGGTGTCTGAGATTGTCCTAGATGACCCATCAGGTATTTCAACTGTTCTCAGAGGATGTATGAGAGTCAAACAGAGGAATCTATGATGAAACTATGAATACAAAAAGGCAGATTTACTGTTTCTTAGGGGAGTATTTATTTCTAAGAAATTATTTTTCTTATTCTCCAGTATTTGTGTTTTCGGTGTTCATATAGCGGGCAGTTAGAAAAGGTTTCCTAGAGAACCTTACAGACAAACAGGGAGGGCAAGCTTTTGGCTTCAGGAAAATATCTTCTATAGGGAAAATCAATAACAATACCAGTGCATGTGGCCTTTTGAAGCGCTTTTGGAAATACAGGAAAACAAAAAGATCAATATAAACTAATCAAGACAGAATTTATTAGTAGGTCTCTTCTGTGATTAAGAAGCAAATTTTCTAATGTGTAGAAACCTTTTATCTAAAATTTTAAAAACATGCAATAAAAACAATCGTGTAATTTTTTACAGAATTTATGGCATTAAGCACAATGGATGTAAGATGCTTTTCATTTTTGAGGAAAGAAAACAGAAGTCCCCATATTTACTTCACTTGGGAAAGTGGGGAGAGCTCGTCCTCATAGGACACTCTCCTGGGTATACTTCTGCTCATTTGAGAATAATTACAGCAAGTACCGAGTTGGCCAAAAAGTACATTTAGTTTTTTCCTTGAAATAAGAGACATTTTCTTCATTTTCACCAATAACTTAATCGATTTGGATATTTTGAATATGTCAGCTATCTTCCACTATCGGCTTCTAGCCGGTAGAGGCCAGCGGTACTGCTAAACATCTTCCAATGCCTAAGACAGCCCCTCAGCAAAGACTCATTTGGCCAAAATGTCAATAGTACCAAGAAACTTCACAAACCACTTTTGATACATTCAATCAGTCACAGAACCTTCACCATACACTGCACAAATTTTTTTGCATTTTTACCTGTCTTGAAATAACATAATATGCTAAAATTTTCTTCCTAATATGCATTTTCTTCCATCTTCAATATTAAAATGGCTTCACAAAAGTTCACCAATTTTGGTGTTTTTTTCTATGCATCCTGATATGACAGCTGTCACAACACAATCTAACAATTGTTTTGAATGAAGTTAAAGACAACTAAGCACTATTATAGCCATCATATGGAAAAAATATAATGGGCTTTTTGGCCAACCCAATGACTTAGAGTAATTAACAAATTTCAGGATCTTCACTTCTTCAAACATAAAATGTAAGTGTGGGGCTCTTACCCAGTAGTTCCTATCCAAATCGCCCATGGTCTGGGGTGATACCCAGATATCTGAATTATAAAGGAGCTCCACATACTAACTACTCTTCAGAGACCCACCAGGGGATGACCTCTACGGCCGCCTCTAGTTCCACAATTTTTAACGTCTGAACTTTCTCATTCCACAGTCAAAAGATGAGAAGCAGTGGGCATTCCTAAATTTCTCTGGGGGAAATAATTCAAATTGAAAACCTCAAGGACAGACTAAGAAGCTACAGAAAGTAAACAGTGATGCATTTAGGCAAGCATGCCATCTAAAACTAATGACCTTTTGAAAACAGACAAAAACATATGCAGAAAAGAAAAAATATACCTTGGAAAGGGTTGCAAAGGAAAAACAGCCACAACACAAACAAGCAGGAAACAAAAATGCTTTCCCAGCACATATAAAATGCCCGTGGGACTTTGTAACACTTACTGGATTCCAAGAAGACCTCAAAGAGATTGATAAATGTCTGAGAATATCAGGTCCTAACAGCCTAAAGCTTAAGGGTATTTCTAAGCAATTTTTATATCCTAATGGACAAAGAATATAAGAATAAAAGTACAATCTATATATAGCCAATTAAATTGAATGATTAATCTTCCATGATTTTTTGCTCTTAATAAATATGTTCCTCTACAATATTATATTTCCATTTAGCTTTTAATAACATTTACAATTATATTCTTGATTAAATGATACATCCATGCATATTACTGAAATAATTAAAATTTAGTCAGATTAACAAACTTCAAATCACATAGGATATGTATCATGAAAATAGCGTGTCGGTTTTCTACCGCATTCCTCTGACTTCACAGACGGTGTCTATGTGTCTGCCTCCTGTCACTGTGTTCTGGGCTCGTGTCAGTGACTGAAAGGTAAAGATACTACTTCACATGACATGAAGCACACGTACCACAGGCATAAAGAACCTAGCAAATACTACCTAAGAAGGGGATTGCCCCCCAAGTACAGTTACAAATAAACCCAAAAAAGTCTGTGTCCTTTATTGCAAGTTTTTAAACACTGATCTTTAAGAAACTTCTCAAAAGTATGAAACAGAAACCCATTTATTAGAGCAAAACTAGTAACACGTTTTAGACAATAATATTTAGAAACTTTCATAATTCTGGAATATACTGTCCGATTATTGCTTACCTGGGATATTTCTATTGCAGTTTTATTAACACAATCATGTTAAAAATACTAAAGGAAAAAAGCAAGGGGAGTTGATTTTATTTTCATGTAAATAAGGCACTCGACCAGCATTTTTAAAAGTAGGTATTCATAAAGCAATCACTAAGCTATGATGAGGCTTTCAACACAGAATACACAACAAAGCACATTAAACTTACATTGCACATTTCTCTGACTATAGCTTTTTCTGTCTCACTAAGGTCATGTTCATACTCTTTACCCTGTTGACGATCTATAGTTTCCTGAACATCCAAGACCTGGATTTGTTGAAAAAAGAAAAGCAAATTTCACACGGAAAAAAAAAAACTTGTTAGTTATAGAATAAAACCATCAAGGAGCTCCACTTTGTAAAACCTTTAGTTTTTTTCCATGTCTGCATATCAGAGTGGATGCATATATGCCCAAATCATTTAAAAGAGCTCATTGTTGTGAAACTGATCTGGAATCAATTCTACTTGATTTCAAATGGTCATTAACAGCAATCTATTACATCACTAGGAGTCTACTAAATTTATCAATGTCTAAAGTAACTAGATGCGTATAGTTAATTGGGTCTTTAAGCTAACCTGAGTCGATGATTTAGTCAGTAATTCTTGCTTCATTGTGAAAATGAGTAATATAATTAATTATACACCAAACAGTCCAAATGATATGTAGACATGGCCTATAGAAAAAGTGACTAAAAAGATGACAGTGATGGTGAAACTGGTCAGAATTCAGCTATATGTACATAAGAACTTTTATTAACATTAACACTACTGACCTCACAGTTCTTGCCTGGACATTCTCACTGGCTAAGAAAGGAATATGGAGACAGCTCATTGATAGCAATGAGAAACACTGACTCCTTATAGTGAGAATATTTGAGCAATACTTTAAATATTTTTCATTAGAGCAAAGTACATAGGGATGACATGCTTTTAGATTCCATTTCTCTAAATTACTGCTAAATAGATTGAAACTAATATTCCTTTAAAATGTAAAGTTTTCATGTCAGTACTTTCCATAGTACAAAGCTTAGGCTTTGAGTGATGTTTGTTATTTTCCTATCTGCTTATAAACCGAAGCATTAATGTAGCATTAAAAAATAAATGCTTTTCCTAAAAGTTCCTGTAGACTCCACCCTGACATTGCTAAACTCCTTGTTCTGTTGTCCTCATGGTCAATGTTAGTGACACCATACCTAAAGATGTCACCTGAGAACACCAATGAACAGTTGAGCCAAAATAAATGACTTCAGCATGAAGTGGAACCTTCATATATAGGAAGATTACACTGATATTTACCAGTTTGATCCTGCTATAAATAGCCTAATTCATAAACTACTCTCTGGTTAACTCAAAACTTCTAGCCATTGTTAGCATGTAGAAAATACTTCATCAGTGTAGGATATAATAGCAGTGAATGAAAGCCTCACCTTTTCAACTCAGAATAGAGTTAGTTCACATTCTCAGTGAATCTTTGTAGGAACCTTAACTCTTGGAACAAGCTCATTGACTTACAAATTCAATTTATAATGCACCTCAGAGAAGTGTATATCAAATCAGTAAATTCCTACTAAATGAAATGAAGCTCCAATTAATCGTTATCATGAATTTTAAAACAAGAAAAATGAGGTGTTATTTTAAGTGAGTTAATTTCTCACACTGACTTCAAACACTTCCCCCAACCATGACCAGAGTTATTAAATCCTAGAGGATTTTTTTAATCTATCAGAAGAAACTGAGCCATTGTTCTAATGATTTCTATCAGAACAGAAAAAAAATCATATGCTACAAATCTGCTCTAGATTGGTGGCCTTTAAAAACAGAACCTTCTGAGTGACTACATTGTGTTTTACACTGAGGTAGCCTTAAGATGCACTGCCCACAGACTATGCGCTCACTTCTGTTTCAGACGCAGTTAACTTCTGGAAGTAAGGCTCTGCATTTAAGAGCCTCCAGTGATCCAGTAAAGGTACTTCAGTTGCTCACTATCACCCATCTGCCAAGTGAGGACACTTACGTGTTCTGATTATAACAGAATATCGTCCTCTCTGGAGAGAAAATTTTATATGAAAATTAGAGAATGAATTCAGAGAAAGCTGAAGAGCTCTTCCTTGCCTGCCTCTTCCTTTCAGCCCATACAAGCACAGCTGACTTGAAAAATTCAGGAAAGACTGCAGTGCGGCCCACTATGCAGATCTGATTCAAACTGCAGTTGCCATTTAATAGGGCAACAGGCCGAGTCGGTGTTCAATTTGAAATGTAGGTCAGTGTGTTGCTTTGGGAGTATGTGCAGACACTAACACTACAGGATTGAAGACACTCTTATTTTTTTCATTCCTAAAATGCTTTTTTGGATTTATGCTAAAGTAACAGCACATTTAACATACTATTCATGCTAAGCAGCAGTCAAAGGCTATAGCAGACAGCAAGTGTGTTTGAGTGGCAAAAGCAGCACCCACCCGACAGAGGGCAGCAAAACAGGAAATGTCAAGTGCATTGCCACCATACACGGCATGGTTCTGTTGTCTTCCTTCATCCGCAGTTTAGACTTGGGAAAAGCAAACTTATTTAATCTCAGTGACAGCAGAGCAAAATGAGGGAGCTAAATCTGCTAAACTGAATCATCCAAATCAAAAATATTTTGAAGTTCTCATCTATTTATTTGCTCTATGCATGGCAGAGAAAGTATGACCCACTCCAAAAGAATGTATGTTCGGTCTGTTAATGAATCATTCCAAATTCAAAGCAATGTCAGAAAAATTGTGAAACCCATGTGGCAGGCACAAGACTGAAGCACTCTGCCTACCTTATGGCTCAGAAAGTTCCATCAAGGCTCCATGTTAGGGATTATAGAGAAACTGAAGGACAGTGTTTCATACTTCAAGGAACTGCCTCAGTTTTAAGATGATTTTTATTGCCTGCATGTTTCTACTCCTAAATATTTATATTATTTATTATTTTTACTTATGGTACTTATTATTAATAATACTCATTGGAAAGCTCATCATTGGTAAAGAAAATTAAATTTTAAGCCCAGTCAGTTTTGAAGTCATTGCAGAATCTGAAGTAAAAGCCAAAAATAAAATAGCTTTATGAGCAAGACCAAATATCTAAATACTCTATAAAGGAGCTTCAACTAGAGTTTGAAGACCTAATTTCTATTTAGTGGGGAATGGAGTAAGATTTTGTTTCAATACTTTCTTTTAGTAAGTTGCACAATATATTTCGCTTGCATGAAAAAAAAAGATGGTGTCCTTCCTTACTTTGGCCAGCTGTTAACTCCCTGTATTTAAAGACATCCACGCTACAGACATTGCACATCAATACCTATAACAATATTTTACACATATGACTATATACATGCACACCAGACTTCAACTAGATGCAGATAATGAATCACATTACTCAAAACAAAATGGTAACAGTAGAGATTCAACCATAAGTACTCAAACCCATTGTTATTTGAAAAAATTAAAATCATACTTCAAAAATTAAGATAAAGTTACACCATCAGGGGTCAAAAATAAAGTATATATGGTTAAAACAAGACTGTGAGGACTACTAGACTACAGCAAACAAACCACAACACGACTGAATTTCTTGATAAATGGTTGTACACAGTTGGTTACCTTAAGAGAATGTACCACGGGTTCAGGCTGCTGAGAAGGTGTGGTATGTCCACTGAAGCTAGCTGGAGAGTTGGGGGAACTGTTATTCCCATCAGCCCCTGATGACAACCTAAAAGAACCCTTAGTAGAAAATCAACAACTTTGTTATTAAAACAAAAGTCGTTTATAACTGCATAGATGTCATTCAATTTCACTGCCAAATGAGAATTAGCCATTTAGTTAAATTTTTTCCATGCCTGTCCTACAACACTGTCAACCTGTTAATTGGAATACACTTGCTGCTTGAACAGCAAGAAAAGTTAACCAAGAACTATCTCTATGCATGTCCAGGTGTCATTTCTGATTTCCCAGGGAGAGCAATGCCCCCTAAGGAATGGCCATTAAACATTTCAAGAATGATTTCTGAAACTTAAAGATAAGAGTAGGGAATTTATGAGTTACTCCACAGCTGAGTTAAACATGCTCATTCAGCAAGACAAATGCCATATTCCATGTGTCTCAGAAAATGCGGGCACATCACATTTCTTCCTGCATTGGAGAAACTCTTATAGAATGCCTCTTTGGGGGGAAACCTAGAGTGGAACATACTCCAAAGAGATTTAATAAGTATTCTCTTTAAGAAAAAACTTAATAAGTATTCTCTTTAGGAAAAAACTTATCTTCTCACTTTTTTTGAAATGAAAAACAACAAAATAGATCAGAAATTACATTCTTGCAGTTTAGTGACTCTGCACCTGAGCTGGTGAGAAATCAGAACCGGGCATGATTGCTCTTGACCTGTGAGAGTCATAGTCACCCAAACAGGAAATGGGGAAAAAGTCAAAATACAAACTACCTTTTCTAGGGATTGCTTGGAGAAAGACTAAGGGATCAGGAAAGAAAAAGAGCAGCAGTGCTCTCCCCTCCCACTAAAAGCAGTCCACCGGGAATTTCCACACCTGTTTTTATGGTGATCGTTACATCCAGGGGGCCTGAGAGACTTTAATTTCAGTCCATCAGCAAACCTACAGATGTTTTTCATGCCTAACAGACTAATAACGGCTCCATTTATCTAGATCATGAAAAGGAGCATCATGTATGGATTCACGAAGGGAAGAAATAACTGGTTTTGGAGATTTATTTTCCAGCATCTGTAGGAGAGCTTTCATGGTGTGCATTTTAGGGATGGGAAGGAGAGGCTGGGTGCAGCAACAGTTTCAGGTAGGGGTTTTATGCAAATGGTGCCACTTTTTAAAAAATGGACAATTCCCATTAATTTTACAAAAATGATAATGCAGCAATTTGGAATATCTTCTCCTGTTGCTGTCATTTCCCATGTCCTTGAAGGTATCCTTGCCACAGCACAAGCCAGTGGAGGCCACATTCATGTCCTTGCTCAGAAGTCTTATGGAAACAAACCAGGCTCTGTCCCACCCTCACTAGCAGCCATGAAAAATGACATTTAGGTGACCTCTCCAGCTTCTGTCCCCCGTGACTACTAATGATGAAATTAATAGCCCCAATCTCCACCACCCAAGGCAAAAAATATTTATAAGATTTGTTTCCCTGTATTGGTAATAAGAGCAAATCAGACATAATACTAGAAGACAGAAACAATAAAAGGGGAACTATCTGAAGTTGGTTGGTTGGGCACACCCTCCCTCCACCCCCACTACCAAATTTTGGATGCCCTCTTCCTCGGTGGAGAGGAAATGTTTCCAAAACAATGGAATTACAAAGGAAGTTCTTCCCTGCGTAGCTCTAGGCCTGTACAATGCTCTTTCCCTACTATTACCAGTCCTATGAAAGGCCCCTGAGTGCACTTCAACCCTCTCACTTAGGACCCACCAGTGCAGGGTTGTCCTCCTTCTGACTGGTCATCTAACTCGGCAGGCAATAGTCCTTCCCCCTTCTTGCTCCGGGCTACCCTCCTTCTGTTCCTTCTTTTCAGACCCTTTCCTGCCCAGCCCTCTGTTTCAAAGGTGCCCCTCCCAGACCTGGCAAATGGAAGACATATCAATCCCAGTCTGCACCTGCTTGGAAATGGGGCCTGTATATTTCAGTGAGTTTTGGTTTAAGAAAATTTCTAAAATCAATGATGAGTGACTTCCCTAAACCAAATCCTCTGGACAATTTATCATTGTTTAAATTTAAGAGGAGTTGTGTTCTACCCTAATTTGTTCAGAGAATAAATATTCATTTACTTTAAAAGTTTCCTTAGAATAATAATAGAAAAATACTAAGGGTTATACCAGGAAATACACAGTGGGGGTAATTTATCATTGAGAAATTAAAGTTTATTTCAAAGTCACTTTGTGAGCCATGGACTAATAATCATAGGGAGGATCAAGATTCATGGTTTATACAGTTTCTGTGAAGGTACAAAGGTAGCCAACTGCCTAGTAAAGGTGTCCACCAACAGGTGCTGAGCAGTTTCTAGACTGTGAAAGAGGGATGTCCCTCACTCTAACACCTCATTAGTTACTATGCAAGTTTACATTTCTACGTGCTTAGTAGAATCAGAGAATTATCTAGGTTCAATCAATCCATACTCTCTGTTGACGAGTAGGTTTTCACTGAAGTATTTTTCAAAATGTGCTGCTGAGTGAAACAAATTATTTTAAAGTCTCTGGAAGTTTATTTCAGTAAGATTAAGCCCATTTACTTAAATTGTAACCTGGCTGCTTTGGGTGACAAGGAATTTAAAAAGAGGAAAATCATAGTGAGCTTGGAAATGCGACCCCAAGTTCAGAGTGGCTTGTTTTCAAGCTGCATGGATCCAGTGCATCACCACCTCTTGGGTCAGTGTCAGTTTGAAAGGGCAAGGAATCATTTTCTGGCCTGGTCAAGAGACATCTGGTGGTGCCTGACAATTCATTTTTATGGGCACTGATCTCTTAATCTGCTTTTCATGAAAGGTGCAGGCTACCTTTGTTCTTCTGCAGTGTTTGGGGTAACTCAGCTTTCACCCTCAAGTTCAGGGGGGAAATAAAGACTAGAGATGACCCTTTAGGAGATGAAAGACTCTACTCCAAATTCCCTCCCCAGATTCAGACACACAGCAACTTTCTTTTCATGTCTACAGACTTGTTTTCTAGCCCCCAGTATAACTGTTCCTCTAGCAGCAGAAGTCATCTGGTTACGCACAAGCAAACGCAGCAGCTGACTCATCTTCACTCACCGGGAGAGTGGGCAGGCATCGTCCTATTCCTCGGCACCCTTGCCACCACTGCAAGACCCGCCGGGCTCTGGGCCCCCAGCCTTTCTCCATATTTGAGCTGTTTCTAGTTGGAGGTTGCCTTCTATTCTGGGTGGCCTTATATTTGGAACAATATAGTACAATCACTCAGAAAAATACTGTTTCCCAAGTCTCAAGAAAGCAGATAGAACAAGAAGCTTAATGAAATGAACCACAATGACCACAATGGCAAGCTGTAACATGCACTTCAACTAGGGAAAAAAACAAAATAAAAACAAACTGAAGTCTGTGTATTGAAGCTAATACTGATTTTTTAAAATAAGCTTTTGTCAAAGTTGTAACTAACAAACTATCAAAAGGTGGTAGATGAGAATGCTAAAGTTAAAGAACAACTTAGACAACTTTATTTCGTGGGTTTTACTTCTGAGAAATAGAGAAGTACTGTACGTCTTCCAAGTATTTAAAGCAGTATAACTTCAGAACTCAACAGAGATTATTTGAAATGCATCTGGGAGCACAATCCCCTTTTGGTAAGAAACACAAGTTGGGTAGATACATTCAACAGCACTCAAAAACTGATGCCAATTCAATTTCTCAGCAAAATACCTGCACATTTAAAACGTACGGGGGGGAGGAGGGGGTTAGAGTTCACGTGGAAAATAATATAGTAATTAATAAATAATACAAGGACAAATGGTTTCATGTTCTTGCAACTGTAAACCTATTTTTGCACCATACTGTATGTATGCGCTAATGTGTAATAATAAATGTTTACATAGGACATATACATAGCTATCAAAATGTCTATTAATCAAGTTAATGCCACAAATTTCTGAACTACCTGGAACTAGAGGTATCACATAACTAAAATTTTTTCCCATGAAAAACTAATTATCACAACAAAAATGAACTTAATTTGAGTATAATTTCCTCTTCCTGCCGACTTTTACTACTGCCTTTGACTAAGAATGCTATGTCCTAAGGAATACCAAGAATTTTAAAAAGATAATATGAAAAATTTGCAAAACAGGTTCATGTCTACATATCTAATTTTATGAGACAAAAAATGAAGAACACAATATTTTAGTTCTCATAGACCCATTTCCCTAGAAATGTGTGTCCCACTGAGAATAGTAATGGTCTAATTTTCACTGTTCTGTAACTTTTGGAGGCGGAATTAATCAAGAAAATGTCTAAAGAAAAATGAGCAATGACAATCAGCAGTTGTTACTCACAAAACTCCGTTATGAATCTACGGAATCAGTACCAGCTATCTATGAAATATAATCCCATATTCCTCATATAGAGCAGAGAAAATTATATATTTGCATGTGGACCACAAAGGATCATTTTATCAAAGCAACATCAATTTGAACATTAGGTTTTTTTTGCCACAATTTTATGTCAGTGTCTTATATCCACCATCAAAAGAATTATATCTAATAATTTATAATATGGTCAATGGCATAAAGTTCACCTCTCCCCCAATCATCATAGTTCTATTTCTGAGATGATCTATGAGTAATGCATTTTTTTTACAAGTAACTTCTACCTTTAGGATTTGGTTCTCTCCATGACTTCCACGTCTCTCAGATCTTATATTTTTCAGATTCAGCAACTGGGCAAAACATTGGAATCCCTAGTGTCATTCTTCCTTAATGTATAATGAGATTAAATCTCATTACTTCTCCATTGTAACAAAATTTATCATACCCATGAAATCTAAGGTAATACCTACAACCATTTAGAAGCAGCTCAAAAGAGCAGACATTTAGTTACTATATAGACAATGTACAATATTTTCCCACTTTCAAAAAGCACATAAAATATGAAATAAAAGCTATGTTTTTTCAGGATCTTATAAAAGGTTCTTTTTAAACATTTATATAGATTGTATAGAATTAATCTCATAAGAGGGGGCAATAAACACGGACCAGATTTG